AAAAAAAAAAAAAAAAAAAAAAAAAAAATTATACCTTCTGAGGTTATTCTAAGGATTAACACATTCTCACTGGCTTGTACCACTCATACTATAAATAGATCTAATTCCAGATCACTTAAAGACAACAAAGCTCAGAACCGGAAGCCACGGGTCCACATGATCTCTTAGATCTAGGTTCTATCTACTATTAATCAGGAAAAAAAAAATTACCTGATATAACGTAAGATATTAGGCTTCACTGAAAGAGAAAAGCAAGGCCTGGGGCAAGTTGTTTATTATGTTCACTAGAAATAGAACCTATTACTTTGGGTTTACATACCTAGTGAATTTTTTCTGTCTTGAGGTTGGGTCAACTGGCCCATGCTCAGGTGTTCTATCTAGGTCACTTTTTAAATCCCACATTCTGTTTAACTCTGGCAGTGGTCAAGGAAGCACCTATTCACATTTGTAAACTGGACAAATCTGTATGCTGGGAAGGTTCAAGTTGAGGTGATCCTGACGCCACCCTCTCTGCTTCTTGGTTTTCTAAGTGTCTCTGAAAGCCCAGGGTAAGCTCGCAGGATCTCCTTCAGACAGGGCAGATGCTGTGGTGGCACACAATAAGCCCCAGGCTGCTTTTTTACATCTCTTTAGAAGAATAAACAGATCTTGAGTGACATGCTTAGCTATTACTGTTTCCTCTGTTCTCTCCTTACAGCACATCTGAAATTATATGGAAAAGCTCATACTTACTACCACTACACTCTTGGATGCGTCCAAGACGTGGATTACAGGTGCGCTGTATCTTGGAGCTATTTTAACTGCCGTGTGGGTTCTAGAAAGAAGGATAGGGAAGAAAGCATATCCATCAGTAATGATAATTCCTACACAACTCTTGTTCAGAACCATTAGACATAACGTGTTTCTATAGTGTTTTCCAGAGAAAGATTTCAACATGTTTATTTACAAACACTGAACTTCAAATATCCCTTGTAAAATTGTAAAACAAGAATAACTTTTTCCCTATCCCAAGATGGAGAAAACAAGATGAAACAACATGAATTAATAGACTCAGGCTACAAAGAAGCCTGTGTGAAAATGAGAAAGTCATGGTCCTCAGCCCTCTGTCAACAAGGAACCAGACTGTCAGCAGCCTGTGTGGACTAAGGGAGGAGCCAACCCAGGCCATCTCACTTTGCTCACTTTCCCCCCTCCAAACAAACTGGGAGACCACTCATGGTCCCCGAGAACCAGCAACTGTGCAGAGAATACAGGACATGCTGCCAAAATTGTGATTCCTCCTTGTGGGAGACATCAACACCCCTTTCCCCGAACTCCGCCTTGCACTTCTAATAAGAGGCCCAGACCCAAAATTCAACACAATATAAAACAGAGGTAAAAGTAAAAAATATTTTATACTAAGATAACTCAGTGCCGAATCCCTATTGCCAAACTTGAAAATGTTAACACTAGGAAGAAATAATCTTTAATTCTTAAAATTACCTAATTAAAGTGCAAAACAAATTGCCCTCTGGCTGTTGGATATCCGTACCATTAGCGTAGGCTACATATCTGCTATTTCACAATAGAACAGACCAAATTAAAGTGAGAACTAAAACATACATTAGCCCCCCAGCACTAGTGATATGGGAGCCAAGGACAGGAGAACTGTGGACTGGCCCTGTATGCTCTGAAGAGTTGCCACAGTTCTCACTGTGGGGCCTCAGGTGTTTGCTACTCTTCCCTCCTCTCCAAAGTAGCAGTGCTCTTCTGAAAATTTTGTATTTCCATGTTCTTTCCCTCAATTAAAATGGATGTTTTGGGGAGTATTATCCAGAATATGCTACTATATGAGAAAGAAACCAAGTAGCAGGACTTAAGTTTACTGCAATTCCATTTTTGAAAAACAAACACACTACCCTTAAACTGCACTACCAACAAATCTGCAGCTAAAATTCTGCATATTTAGGAAAACCACACAGGGATGTATATCAAGTGGCACATAGAGCTAAAGGTGACAAGAGAGAGGCTACATTTTATTTTATACTCTTCTCCATTATCTGAAATGTCCCAATGAGTGTAGATTAGTCAAGTAATCTTTAAAAATCTAAAACCATCAAATGTAATCCCAGCAATCTGGTAAACTGAGGCAAGAGGATTGCAGCTTAAAACCCAGTCTGGAAAACTTAAGACACTTCATGGGACCCTGTCTCAAAATTTAAATAAAATGACTGTGGACATAGCTCAGTGAGAAAGCCTTGAGTTCAGTCCACCCCACACACACACTCTCTAGGAAGCTCTAAAAACACATTCACAACAAGATAGGACCCACTTTCTAAGAGTCCCTCCATTTGTGAATGGGCAGTGTGAGATCAGGACTGTAATAAGAGTCACTGCAGCAGCTGGTAGGGAGCAAAAAGTGGGGCTGGATTGGAGGTCAGCATGGATGAACTCCAATGCCTCCTGATGATGAACCTTATCCCTACTGTGTAGGGGTAAGGATTGTAATGGCTTGTATCTAAGTGTCCCCCCAAAGCCTCAGATGGTCACAGGTGAGGGTTTTCAGGGATCTAGAGTATGTGATGCTGGAATTAAGGATATGATACTGGGACTGATTCATGGCATGATGACAAGATTAAGGGTGCCCCTCCCTGCATGTGAGGTAGCCTGGATAGAATATAAGGGACAAAAAGAGGACTGCTGCTGTCACTTGCTGCTTGCTGCCTTCTGCCTGCCATGAATGGTTTCTCCTCTGTGATGTCCCTCTACCATGCCACCCTGCCTTGGAGCCAGCCCACTATGAAATGAAACCTCTATAAACTGTGAGCTAAGTAAACCTTTCCTCTTTTAACTCTGGGTGTTGCACATTTTGTTTCAGCAACAAGAAAAGGAACTAAGACAGGGACTAAACCCTGGATGACATCTTGAGTATTTTGTAAGGAGGAGGCCTTTCAAAAGTAGAAAATGTTGTAAAAAAACAGCTGCCTCAAGCCTCAAAACAGAGCACCAGTCACATTAAGCTCGATGCTTTCCCTTCAGATGACAAACTCCTTGAATACATGAATATCTCCTATATATTCCACTGGAAATATATACCCTGCAATGAAGCATTACTTTAAACCCACTGGCACTCAAATGACCTTTCTCTCAGAGAAAACCAATAAAATTTTATATTTTAAAATCAATGCAGTATTTACTAAGCAGTCAATAGTTCTCAAGTCAATGATGACTAATTCTCTCTGATAATCTTCTAAACAAGGGCACTGAGAATAAACTAATGGATTCTACTATTTTAAAACAAATAAAAGCACAGTGCTGCTTTTCAACATAAGAACTGACAAAGCTAGATAACCAGAGGTATTAAATTTGAGCTTCCTTAGCTGCTGAGTGCGCTTTTGGTTTCCTTATAATATGATGCTGATTCCACTTACTTCCCTCCAGGCGTCTACTTATGCAAGTTTCTCAAGCCTGAAAAGATGCAGAACACTGGGTTCTCTCTACGCTTCCTGCACACCAACAGCAGTGAATCTCAAACGCTGCTCCTGCCAAGTTGCTCATGGACACACGATACCACTGCTCACCACCACACTTGCCGAGCACACATGACATGTTAAACTCAGAAGACTTAAAAATGCTCTGAATAAGAAAAGTACTCTAAGCATTTACTTCACATCATACCCTACTCTAGATTTAATTTTAATGTCTTTTACAGCATGACCAACGCTTAAGATCTGATGAGAAAAATGAAAGGAAAATAAAGATGGAAAAATTAAGATGCACTCAGAAGTGAGATTAGCATATAAAATTCATTCTGTGAATTTCTACACACAGGCCTAAATTCTAAGCTTCCCCACATGATCACTTATGTGATTTAATACCTTACTTTCTAGAAATTAAGGAAAAACACCCACACTCAGAAAATTCTGCCAGTGTATGCCCTTGAGACATTATGCAGATAACACAAGATTTCCACTAGTTTCTTATATGTGACACCAAAACCATCTATCTACATTATAGACAGATGATTCAATTCTCTCATCTTTTATACCAATAGGTTAAAGCATATATTGCACCAATCTTTGACCCCAAATCTGTAACATCCTTTCAACATCCCTAAGAACTCTCCAATGGACAGTCTTAACTGCCATTCATGTGTCTAATTCTGTTTATGCTACTGCAGGCCACTGGCATCTGGAAAAGCACCTAGCTTATATTCCCTCAGATATCTGTTCTCATGAAAACCTAGAGTCTGGAGGTACCACTTGTTAAGTACACTGAGCAAAAGAACAACCAGCCCCTGCTGAGGCCCTAACAGGTCTGAAGAGAAAACAACAAGGAGTTTCATAAGGCTTTGGAGACATTCAGACTCCCAAATGGTCAGTAATAAAGCAGGGTTTCCTGGGAGCAGGTGGTTTTCTTATTCAGAAATAAAAGGTATGAGCCATAAAGGAAGAGAATGACAAATCAGACTTAACAAAAACTAAAATTTTGTGATCCATATATATCACTGAGATAGCAAAAGACAAGCAAGAGTGGAAGAATCTATTTGCTATATTTCTGATGAAGGAAGAAATCATGGAAGATATGAGATCCAGATTTCTGCCTTCAGTTTTGCAGGTGCTGAAAACAGATGTCGCACAATATCTGGAGACTGGTGACTTCCCGTCACTAGGTCTTATCATGGTTGTAACTCTTAATAATCATGATTCTTAAAAATTACTCTAGTTTTGCCAATGATGCATCTTGAGAGTCCAGTTATGTTGCCTCTGGATGCTTTTTCTTTAATCTGGTGATTCTTAGAATGGATAATTTGGTCAAGTTCCAATCTGCACAAGTAGCAAATTCCTGATCTTAAATTTTTTAGTATAGCATCTTATAACATAAACAATTCTAATTTTGAATCCAGTGTCAAATTTACATAACCCATAAAACATTTAAATATTTATTTCAATTTACAACTATAGTCTTTTTTTTTTAATAGTACTATATTGAACACAGAGCCTTGCATAGCACATAAATAGTTAAGCACTCTATCATTGATCTGTATCCCCAGACTTTTTAAAATTTTTGAGACAGGGTCTCACTAAGTTGTCCAGGCTGGTGTCAAACTTGTGATTCTTCTGCCTCAGCTTGAGCATCTGGGATTATAGGCATTTGGCAGAACTATGATTTCTAAAGGTCTTCCATTCTCACAATGGTCCATAGAGCCTCTGATCATTACTAAGTCTGTCATCAATTAGCCAAGATTATGTTCATCAAAATCTACTTATTGACAACAATCTGCCACATAGCCTAGTAGTTAAGTCCTTCATGGAAAACTCAGTGTTCTAATGAGTAGCAACAGTGAAACTAAAGACTTCTTCGAGTATAAAAAGCAATTTCACATAACATTGTGGCTATTTATGAAAATGATCCATTCAGATTACAAGTATGTAAACTTGGCTGGGCCGTGATACTCAGTTTTGGTCAGACTACAATCTAAATGTTGCCATGAAGGTATTGTTTTAGATGTGACTAATACTTTAATCAGCAAACTGTGAGTAGAGCCAAGTATCTTCCAAATGTGGGTGGGCCTCATCAATCAACAGGCCTTAGGAAAAAAGGCCAAGTCCCTGAGTTCTCCACAAGGAAAAAGAGACTCTGCTGCACCCTTGTCTTCAGACTCAAGACCACAACATAACTCTTACCTGGGTCTCCAACCTGCAGATTTCAGACATGACATTCCCCAAAATTACAAAAACCAATTCCTTAAAATAAATCTCTCACTTTTTTCAAGGAACTCAAAAATACCTATGACCACTACTGTACTTTTGCACAAGAAAAATAAAATGCAAGCAATGGGACCATCAAATTCACACTCCAGCTTGATCTTGTTTCCTACCAAAGTAAAGTATGTATAGTATAAGAAATGTTGCAAAGAAAGTCTAGCACCTATAATTAACATCTCTCATGGAATCACCATGATCACAATCCCAGGAAAAATCTGATGAACCAAACAATGACTATGGGACTAAATGTGAACTTTTTTCTTCTTTGCATTTTTTACTCAAGATTCAGAAACAACTCCCCAAAATAATCTTTTAGTTCATTCTAGCTAGATGGGTTTTCTGTCTCTAAACCATTAAAAGGTTAGAGTTTCTTCAAGAGAATCTGAACTTTTTCAGACACCTGGTTCAAGACAGAGTGAGAAGTTAAAACATTATCTTTGTGCTAAAACTCAGCTTCCCCACTTAGTCTCATTTCAAGAGAGGTAAGATCTTATTACAATTTTCAGGAACTGATTGCCAAGTGAGTAGATTAAAGAAAAGATAACTGCAAGCTAAAGAAATCCCCAAAAAGGTAAGGAGTGGGGAATCAGAATGAAGTTTCCCGCCATAAGCTTCAAAACTGTTCTGGCTCTTGCCTAAGTGAAGACCAGGGAGAGTATACAATGAGAAGTCAATCCTAAGCATAAAGGGAAACATACACACATACACACTGCAAAACAAAGTAAAGCAGGTTGCAACACTGTAAACCCTGCCTTATCAGAAAAAATGAACATAAAAAGCCAAGTTCAGGGGCACATGCCAATAATATTCGCTACTCACATGACTGAGGCAGAAGGATCACTTGAAGCCAGGAATTCAAGGGTAGCTTGGGCAACACAGTAACACCTCTTTCATAAATAAATGAACAAATAAATGGATAAATAAATAAAGTGAGCACAAACTCACTAGTATGACTTACCTCGAAGTGGTTGCCCCTCCAATCAACAATGGAATCTTTATGGCTAATCTTTCCATTTCCTTGGCAACAAAAATCATTTCATCTAGGGAAGGAGTAATGAGTCCTGACAAGCCAATTATATCTATTATTTAAAAGAAAAAGATAGTAAGACGACAGATAAGAGAAAAAGAAGTATGAAAACCCATTTTTTAAATTTTATAATAAAGATATAAGACCTAACATGAATTTCTAATTCTAAGAAATCTTTTCTGTCTGGAGGGATTTAGTATTTGTTTTTGGTAGTAAACAAGATTTATAACTTAAAGTTGCAATAATGAACTTGCCACACCTTTAGGAAGCCATACAGAAGGTAGTTTTAGTTCATGATACCCCAGACTCATATTATCAGTGTTCAAAAAAACATAAAAACAACTACACACAGAAAAACATTGAATATAAGGGTTGTCTTGTAAGAAACCTGTCCCCATTTCATTTCCAGAGCTGCATGGTCACACATGCACCTTTCCCAACCTCCATGTAAGGGCTACACAGCAGCTCTGCACAGGAGCTGGCACTTGACTGTATAAAATGTCCCTGTGACTCTGAGTGGCCTGAGCTTTACTATTCATTGATGCACAGACTACTGGGAAAGAGACACTGAGTGAAATGAGCAAAGGACAGTTACACAATACCTGCTTTGTGGTCAAGGGCAGCTTTCAGTATCTTATCACAGGGAGTCATGACTCCTAAGTCAATAACTCTGAGGTACAGAAATGAGACATGAGAAAATAACAACCCATTAGAGACAAAGCTGAAGTGAACATTTTCATTTTAGTCATTAAATACTGCTCTAATATAAACTGGAATCACATCAAAATGCTCACTGAACACTGACAATCACAATTGTCATTTATTATGTACTCACCATATGCCAGGCTCATGCTAAGCTTTTTGTGTACAGCTTTACTGAAATAATATTCCTATTCCAAACATTCACCCATTTAAAATGTACAGTCCAGCAAGGCATGGCAGCACACACTCACAGTCCCAGCCACTTGGGAGGCCAAAGCTGGAGGATGATTTGAACCATGGGTTTTGCCAGACAACACAGCGAGACTACATCTCAAAATAAATTTTAAAAAACTAAAATAGACAATTCAGTGGCTTCTGATACGTTCTTTCATAACTGTGGTAAAATATACTCAAGCTTCCATTTTTAACTATTTTTAAAAATACAATTCAGTTTATTAGTTACAAAGTTGTTTAACTTTACCACTATTTATTTATATATTTCATCATCCCATACAGAAACACTATAACTACTCCTCCTTCCTTCCTCTTTTCCCTACCTCCTAAGCACATGGTAATCTCTATTGTACTTTTTGTCTCTAGGAATTTGCCCAATCTAGAAATTCTATATAAGTGGAATCATTCAGTATTCATCTTCTTGTGTCTGGCTTATTTCGGCTTATTTCATGTAATACAATGTCATCAAAGCTCTTCTGTTTTAGAGTGTATCAAAATCTCATTCTTTTTTTCAGGCTAAATAACATTCCATTATATAGACATTTCCCTGCTAGTGTTTGGATCTAGAACACACTTCCCACCACCACTCCAAAAAAAAAAAAAAAAAAAGATTCACGTGTTAAAAGGCTAAGTCCCCATCTGACACTGTGGGCAGGTGGAAGGTGGCGGTGGAACCTTCAAGAGGTGGAGCCCAGTGAGATTCTTGTGGTCGTTAGGACATGCCACTTAAATCCCTTCCTTCCTCTTTGTCTCTTTTGTTTCATAACCTGGCCAAGAGATGTCGCTTTGATCCGATGCTCCCTGACATGATACACTGCTTTTACCACTGGCCCAAAGAGAATAGGGCCAACCATGGACTGAAACTTCTAAAACTGTGAGCCAAGATAAACCTTTTCTCTTTATAAATTGACTCAAATATTTGTTAAGTTACACAAAGCTTACTAAGACATTACATTTTGTTTATTCATTTATCTACTGGTAGATATCTGGGCTGTTTATCCTATGCTAACATTTTTGCATAATAATTTAACCCTTACAGTAAGTCTGTAACTACCATGGGCTCTATTTTAATGACGAAGGGTTCAGACAAGCTCAGCAATCTGTCTACTCATATAACTAATTAGCAACAGACTTGGGATGTGAATCAGGATCTGACACCAAAACTTGCTATCAATTTAGGTCAATAAAAATGCTGGGAAAATTCCTCAACACTATAAAGCATAGAAGCCAATTAGGAGTCCAAAGGGCAATTAGGAAGAGGCCAGTACCTGCACATGCTTAGCTGAGACAGAAAAGTTAGTCACTTAAGGCAAGGGGCAAAGAGAGAAAGGTACACAAAACTTGAAGGAAAAGCTGACACTGGGTAGGCATGAGAGAGAAGGCACTCACTGGGCAGAGAAAGCCTGACGTATGCTCTGAAGGAACATAATAATGGAGAAATTTTCATTTCTGGAGGAGAGCATTTCCTCTCAGAGAACTTGAAGGAAATGTTCTGTGTTCTATTTTTCTCCCATCCAAGTACTAACCAGGCCCGACCCTTCTTAGCTTCTGAGATTAGACGAGATCAGGCACATTTAGGGTGATATAGCTGTAGACTATATTCTATTTTTCTCCTTTAGGTAGAGTACCTATAAATCACTCATCTTTATAATTTAATCTTATCCTATTTATTAAAAGACAATTAAAAATTACAGCATGGATTTTCATTTATGTCAACCATTCAACAGGAAAAAATATTTGAATTTTTTAAAAGCATGCTTAAGAATTTCTACATGCTATAGTATCAGCCAGTGACAGTGTGCTGGTCACTGGGGCAAGAAGACCTGTTTCTCATGATATGTCCCTTATATTATTGGATTTTTCTCTTTTTTTTTAGACTAAGTCATGCTATGCAGTTCAGGCTGGGTTGGGCCTCAACTTGGAGCAATCCTCTTGCCTCAGCTTTCTGAGTTCTGGGATTACAGGTGTGTGCCACCATACCTGGCTATTACTGGATTTTTAGCTTCTCCCATATTATTTTTGGGAAAAAAAAGGAAAAATAAACAAGCTAGCTCATACGGACTCCTCAGTAAAAAGCTAGATAGTTTCAAATCAGTAATAACCGTTAAGTGCGAATGATGGGTAACCGTACAGGCTGGTGCAGGAGAGGGTACCATACACACTTTGATCTTTTAACATTGTGAAGAAAATCTAATAAACAATTTTTTTGTTAAACAATGACTAAATATATGCTGTTGCATAAAAAAAAAAAACCCTGGGCAAAATAGCATACCACTTTTAAATCAAGACAAAGGCATGCCCTTCAACGTTGATATTTCTCAACACTGCATGTATTTACAATCCAATTAAAAGCAATCAGTATGACGGAAAGATCTCGTGGCTCACTGCTTACAGCAGTGCTTCTGCCAAGAGTGGCTCACGCGAGCGACTGCGCTCCTCCACCCTCTTCACTCTCTCACCACTCACAGCTTTCTGCATCCTCCACACGGCCCCCTATTTCTTGACTCTCCTTTCCTCATTTTGAGTTAAACTCGTCTAGATGCCTCTAATCTAGTCTTGTGCCATCTGAGAAACTAAAGAGAAAGAAAACTAAAACTTACGGAAAATGCTGACTTTGCCTGTTTTCCCAAGACACGCTGCCAAGGTGGCCAAGGCTGACCTTACGATCTTCCCACTCCAGCCTCCCTAGCGGCTGGGATTACAAGCATACTCCACTATGCTTAACTCTACAGTTTTCTTTCCGAGCACTTGGAACTGAATATACACATTTAGTTTTTGGCCTTCTAATTTGGGAAAAAAAAAAAAAAAAGTATAGCTACACTACATACTTAAGCAATGGCATTCATTACTATTTAAGAATATAAAATTTAGGGCCTGGGACTTAGCTCAGTGGTGCCACACCTGCCTCACAAGGGCAAGGTCATGAGTTCGATCTCCAGTATCGCCAAAAAGATAATAAAATAAAATTTAGAAAATAAATATTTAGACAAGTTATTCTCTTCTCCAGAAATATAAAAGGAAAATAAAATTATACAGAGACAAGTTATGGAATTAACCTAGGTATCTATCAATGGATGAACAGACAAAAAAATGTGATACACATACCACAGGTGCAATAAAAAATATGATGAACTTTTTGTGTAGTTTCAAAAAAAAGGTCATGTTAATGAAATGCTTATGATCTGTGATTTATTGGCACACTTTAAAACACACCTTCTTCTCTCAATTGTAACTCACAACCAATTGTACCAAACAAGATGAGACTTGTTACATAATTACTGAGGTTCACTGAGCTGCTTCTTGTATTGAAGACCCCTGCCTTTCTGTTGCATGGCACTCAGCAGATTTTCTGATTACATCTTATATATTTACACACACAAATATAGAATGAATATATGCATTTATAGATTTGGAAACCATATGTATAAATGGACTATATATATAGTGGTATATAATGGAATACATGACTGTATAATGGAATATTATTTGGCTATAAAAATAATGAAATCCTTTCATTTGTGGCAGAAGAGACAGAACTGGAAGACATTATGCTAAGTGAAATAAGCCAGACACAAAAAAATGTTATCTCTCATATGCAGAAAACTAAAAAGCTCATCTCAAAGTATAAGAGAGTGCAACAGTAATTACCAGAGAGAAGGAAGGGAAGACAAACAAGGATTGGTACCAAAATAGTTACCAGTGTTCTACAGCACAGTAGGATGACTGCAGTTCATAATAACCTGTTCTATATTTTATGAAGAACTAGAAGAGGAGCTCGAAGGCTCCAAACATAAAGGAATAATGAGACAGTAATGCTGATTACCCAAATGTGACCACCACACACTGTGTGTGTGTGTATGTGTACTGAAATATCACTGTGCCTCATAAATATGTACAATTTTGACATGTTAATTAAAAAGGGGGTAAAGCAAGAAATAAAGCTGTGCATATGCACCCTTTTAGAGCTCAATATTTGCTATCATTTTGCTTTATCTCTGTTGAGGAAGGAAGGTGGCAGCAGGCCGGCTGCCCCTGCAATTGCTGCTTTCTACCACCAGATGGAAGTGTGCTACAGCCCCAGCCACTGTTTCCCACCTAAGGGTAATAAGCAGTGTGCCAGGCCCTGCTGCCACTTTTACTACTAAAAAAAAATTTTTTGAAAGTTTCTCCTTAAAAATATATCAAAAAGCCCTAAAAGGTATTGGCACACATGTGAGGCTCCTAGGAGAAATTAATATGCCCTTGATTAGATATTCAGCTGAAAGTGCCAATATTACAGACTTTAAAATTGTTCTCATGTTTTGACATATACTGCTTATTTCTAACCCATACTGGAGAGTTATATTAAGAACCACTGGTGTGCCAGGTGTGGTGATCCCACACCTTGTAATCCCAGCACCCAGGAGGCTGAGGCAGGAGGATCGCTGTGAGTCTGAGGCCATTCTGGGCTACATAATGAGTTCAAAGAAGCTGGCATACATAGCAAGACCCTGTCTCAAAAACAAACAAAAAGGAACTACTCGTAAAAAAAACAAGTATGTCTTATCCTTTACCAAATCCATAGTTTAGGGGATCTATAAACATTTATTAACTGAATTGAATTTTAACTGATGGTGATAAATGTGAATAAAAACACCAATGACAGGTTTGAAAAGGTGACACAAAAGACTGCAGGAAGCAAACACCGTATCCACATACATATATATGTTTCTATGAATATAAAACCTCATTATATCAGCCAATCTTCAAAAAAAGCTGTCTTTTAAAAAAATAATAAATACATTGATAGAAACAGTATTCCTAATTTCTAGGACCAAGAAAAAATGACAAGTCTTTAACAGTGAGTGAACAGGCAAATAGACTACTGGAGGGGGGAACGCTGCCTTCCTGACCCTGCTCCTCCACCTCTAGAACACCTCATGGTTCTTGACCACATTTTATCTAGGCATAAAGGTGGAGATGGAAAAATGTGTTGAAAAGCGTTGAGAGAAACCTTAAAGGTTCATTGTTATTTGACAGCAGAGAACAGAATTCTATGGGACACGGCTATAACTCCAGTTAATTCTCTCTTCTCTACCCAGAGAAAACAGCACATTGGAAAAAAGTCCTTGACACAATCAGACTGCTGGCTGGACACAGACCAAACCAGGAAAGGCATTAATCGTATTAGGCTCTTCACTGTAAAGAATATGCTAAAATACTATGGATGATTAGTAGCTCTCACATGGAAACAATTTTGTTATGAATATTTATTTGTTATAATGAAATCTATTAAAAATGGGTTTTACTCACAACGTTCTAAAAACTAGACTCATCATCAACAAAAAGTACACAGGGTCCTTCTAGGCCTGTAAAGCCAAGAGAGATAAATAGAGACAAAGCCCTCCTATAAAACTCCATTTAGCCAAGTTTCAGAAGATCTCTGTCCTAAAATCTGATAGCTATTGAGAGGAAAAAGAGAATATTCAGAATGCCACTGACCGTGAAGAGCCTGACATTCTAGACATCAGAGCCTATGTTCTCAGGTCAATCCTAAACCTGCCTGCACAGCTTTCCTATTCTTTCTGTCCTTAATGAACATATAACAATTACTTATTTCACTTGAAAAGTCAGGTTCACTGTGGACAATGTGAAACAAATAAAAAGTAGTCTCTGATATCCACTATCATACTCTACACCTCTCTTTACCCAATAAAACATTGCCCTGCTGAAATACTCTGATGCTTAAATATCAAAAGGGTTGAAAGAGGTAAGGTCTAAAATTACCTAAAATTATTGCAGCCGAGGACCACTCCAACTATGTTCTTGCCTATGTCATGTACATCGCCTTTAACGGTGGCCAGCACAATGGTTCCTTGGTAAGGGTCCTGGAAAATAAGCCAAGCAGCTGAGCACGACTGGGGTGATTTAGAGCAAATCTCCTAGCTCTCAAGAGCCAGGCAGGGGTCTGAACAGACAGAAATTAATACAATCAAGACTATTTTGAGGATAATAAGCCCGAGACCCAAATCCTTTGCTCTTAAGAAGAATGCTGTAAGCTCCAGCAGTAGACAGGAAGCCTGACTTCATGGTAAGCGCAAGGGACCCAGCCAACAGCATACACCCCAACATCTCAAGCAGCAGTGAAGCTCAAACATGGAACAGTCCCACCACAATCTGAGGCACCCTAACTGACAATGCGTAATGCCATCCATTAAAGGAGAAGAGCAGGAGGGAAGAGCTGGGTAACTAGAGATGTTCCCTCAGAATCTGAGAACGGTAACAATCTAGTGCAGAAAGCATTTTGAGTATCTATTTCTTTAACATGAAATTCTGTAAACATATCCCTTTTCCCCAGAAGTAAAACAGGAAAGGTAATCAAAGCAAGCAGCATTTCCACAAGTATGTCTGCCTACACAATTTACAAACTCAGATTGATTTAAGAATTTGGAATCCTAGGGGCTAAAACTATCTGAGCTTCACAGGCTTAATGATCTCCTTTGGTGATCATCCTTTGGTGGTACAGCCACCAAAAACAAACTGAACCCAGAAGGTGGTATTAGGATACTACCAGGAGAGAAAGTATTCAGATAAAAATCTTCTAAAAACAAGCACTACTCAAATACCTCAAAAGCAAGGACAGAATTTGGTAGCTACAAAATCTAGTGTGCCTTTGTAAATGAGGGAATGAACTAGTTTTGGCTTGAAATCATAGGCTTTAAAATTTCTTATTTATATTAAAAATTTCATAAAGCCTCATTCAAAGGAAAATCTCAGGGTATACTGAAGCTTGGTAAGGGAAGGTCAGATGTTGAATCACTTCTGTACTCTGTCATCAATGACAAACTCAGCCAAACATGACTGCTTAAACCCAACCCAACAAAAGGCTTCCAGGTCAACTACTCAAAGGGCCCACAGGCCTGGACAGATCAACTTGCCTCTTCTTCCACAGTGCCATTAACCACTCTATTCTCTTCTCTTTCTTTTTCCATGAAGGGGATAAGGTGACCAACAGCCTTCTTCATGACCCGGGCTGACTTGATCACCTGAGAAAAGAGCAGAGTCAGGTATTTGATTGGCCATCCTAACCACCAGTAATTCCCAAACATGACATGGTGCTAATGGCCACCTGTGAAAACTTAGGGCATACTCTGACCACAGGCCAGCTACATGGGAGTCTGCTTTCGACAGGGAACAGGCTACAAGTAAGATCCAACAAACAAAGCACAGTCAAGGAAAACAAGAATGAAGACCAAATACTGTGGCTTCTGTCTTCTGAACTTTTGCTTGTTTTTCTCTGCCTAGAAGACCATTGCTTCTCTGAATTCTGTAATATTCAGTCCCAAGCTTCTCCACCATGCCCTCAGTTCCCAGACTCATCTTAATCCTATGCATTACAGCTCACTTAAAATTGAGCCTTATGAAAGAGGCCCTTTCAGTCTTTCATATGCCTTAAGGCTCCTAACCTATACGCTCAGTATTTGTTTACTGATGGGGTGGGTTAGTAGCTGCTGAAATGCAAAATAAAGAATTTACTTGAAATATAACATTTAACATACCACTCTTTAACACAGTAGTTTTCAAAGTATTATCATTAAAGATGAGCACCAGTTGGTCAAATTAATATTAACTTGACATGTACCGTGGCTCTTATTTTATTTCTGAAGAGGAGACAAAGAAGCAATGGGGCAAGAGGTGATACAAAAAATCAAAACATAAAGACTACAATGCCAAGAATCTCCAGACAATTTCTAATCTCCATACCACGCTAAAGATAAATTCTTTCCAGACATGACTCTAAATACATCTAGGGAAGGAATGATCAGATAATCCCTCAAGCTCTTGATCAAACAAACTTGAGAAAAATATATATAAGAGACTCACTATTCACTGAAAGACAAAGAAAAATTCAATTGGGAAAATATCTCCCTATTTCTAACCTGAGGTAGAAACATTTTTCCAGCTCCAAAAAGGTCACCAACAACTTTCATGCCATTCATCAAGGGTCCTTCAATTATATTCAGAGGTCGAGGGTATTTTTCCTGGTTCAACCTGGCTTCCTCAGTGTCCTCAATAATATATTTTTCAATGCCCTTCAAAAAAAATGAGGAAAAGACATATTAAAAATTGGCTTAAATCCAAGCAACAAAAAGACATGAATCACAGAGATGCTTAAGAGAGTGAATTGCAGAAGCAGATTGCAGGGGTTCAGATCATGGCTCCTGCCACTGATTTACGTGCTCTACTAAGCTTCAGTTTCCTCACTTAGAAAATCACAACAGAATCTAACTCATATGTCCAGTTTAAGGATTATTAAATGAGATGGTCCATGTAAACTGACAGTTGGCTTCATCGATACAAAGTAAGTACTCATAAAACTAAGCTATCTGAGAAAGTGGACTAGTAAGTAGAGTTGAAACTCAACAAATTATACTTTGTGCTCTAGTAGTTTTTTATTTTAGCCTATTAGTACATGTGTGACATGTATTCACATTCCTTGTGGGAAGTTGCTACATGCACATAACACATCTTAATTCCCTTTTCATCCTCTTTCCCTTCCCTCCCACCCTCCCATCTCTTGATCCCTTCCTTTGTGGGGGGTACGTTTGTAGTACATAATGTTTACATTTCTTGTGTGGAGTCGATACATGAACACACCCCCATCAAGGAATCAAATAACAAATGCTAGAGAGGCTATGGAGGAAAAGAAATCCTTCTACAGAGCCAGGCGTGGTGGCACACGCCTGTAATCCCAGCACTAGGGAGGCTGAGGCAGGAGGATTGCTGTGAGTTAGAGACCAGCCTGGGCTACATAGTGAGTTCCAGGTCAGTCTCAACTACATAGTGAGACCCTGTCTCAAAAACAAAAACAAAAACAAAAACAACAACCAAAAAATAAATAAATAAAAAGAAAGAAAGAAACCTTTCTACAATTATGGGAATGCAAACTAGTACCACCTCTATGGAAATCAGTATGGAGATTCCTCAAAACAGTAAAACTAGAAGTTCCATTTTATTCAGCTATTCCCTTTCTAGGAATCTTGCCCAAAAAGCTAAAGACATCATATTACACAAATACATGCATATTCCTATTTATAGCAACAGAACTGATGGAGCTGTTATCTTGGAAGAAGCCCATAATTCCATCAATAGATGACTGGATAAAGAAAATGTGATATTTACACACCATGGAGTATTACTCTGCCAAAAAGAAGGATAGATGAGTTATTTGCAGGAAAATAGATGCACCTTGAGACCATAATGTTAAGTGAAATAAATCAGACACACAAACTTAAATATGTATCCTAGTATTTTAATCAATTATACACTAGTATTATCTCATGAAATCAGTATGTTTTTGCACTGCAACATTACCTAAGTGGAGGACATTCAAAACTCAGGTGAAGTTCAAATACAGCAACTTACCAGGTCACCAGTGACAAGTCTTCCATCATAGTCCTCCACTCATGGATGGTTGAATATGGTTGGTTAGCTACTTTCAAAAACTGAAATATGTGACTCTCAAAAGGCCTAAGAATTAAAAGTTAAATTCTAGAGCTAAAAAAAATTTTTTTGAGGTTCTCTAGACTTACAAATAAAGAAGCTAAAGCCAAGAGATCATTTATCCTGCCTAAAATTCCAACCATCCATAGAAGAGCCAGTGCTGATTTACTGACTAAGAGCAACTTAGTCCAGGGCAGGGTTTGCAGTCTTAGCACTGCTGAGATTCGGGCTGGAAAAGTCCTTGCTGTGTGGGGCTGTCCTGTGCACTGCATGTTTAGCAGCATTCCTGGGCAAGAGATTCCAAAAACATCTCCCACACCCTGATGTGACAAACTTGTCTCCAGACAAGGTCATACGTGTTATCACATGGCGGCTAGGGAGTGCCCCCAGTTGAGAATCGGTGGTCAGGGATGTTGTGCATCTCTTCAAGCTGCTGCCAGCACCAACACCCCAGCAATGGCATCAGTTACCCACGCTGCAGATCAGGCTCCGGTACTCACCTTCACGAGTGCGTACTCAAGGCGCTCTTCAATGGGGCCATTCCTCCACTCATCAGTCTGGATGACTTTCTTCCCTCCTTTGCCATGAGTCTGAATGAAATTAGGACCAAGATATGGATACATGCAGTTTCTTAGTGAATTACTTAGCAGCAAACTTTAAAAAGAAAGGGTCAGGGATTTAGCCCAGTGTTTCCATCACCTGCCTGGCAAGCACAAGGTCCTGAATATGATCCCCAGTACCAAACAAAACAAAACAAAACAAATCTGATCAAACCACTCCTCTGTGAAAAAAATGCTTTGCAAGTTCCCCATTGCTCTCAGGATGTAGCGCTAACCCTCACAACGCCCACAAGGCCACTCCTGAGGAAATTCAGCCATCCAGAACCTTTCCCTTCCTCAGCTTCTCCATCACCATTTGCCTTCAGGCCTTCACATTCCTTCACTTGACAAACCTTTATTCAAACTGACTACAAGGCTGGGCCCATACTTCTCCCTGCAGGGACAGCCAACACTCCACTAACCACAAACCTCGGCCTGGCTAATTCCTATTCCTCCACATCTCAACTGACCCACCACTCTCCCTCGGAAAGTTTCCCTGACCACTTTCCACCTCTGGGTCATTATCCCCGCAGCATTCTCGCGGCACTCTGCACTTGTCACAACACCATCACCTCTGTATATTTTTCTATGTCTCAAGTCAACTCCCAGCCCCGGAGGGTTGGGGCACAGCTACCATCAGATCCTCTACAATCAGTGATGCACAGAACACACAGAATAAAGAGGAAAAGATCTGTAAACATGAGCTAACTGAATTAATGCTGAGCAACTGATGCTGCAGGAGCAACATATATGCAGCATAGTTGAGGTCAAGTCAAAGGAAGCCAGAAATGCATGTTGTGGAATGTGGATTTAACCTGCCAGGCATGTGTAGGCGGGGACAGAAAAAACTATTTGAAGTTCTGCAGCCATGCTTTTAAAAGAAACTCAGAAGAGATCTGGACTCAGTGCTGGTAAAACGAAGGGCAGATAAGGACAAACATAATGACATTAAGTGACAATGAGTATGAAGGAGACAAAGAGGAAAGTGAAAAGAATGACAAGATTTAGGGACAGGGTAAGAACTGAACAACAATGAGACAGGCTCTCTCATATCAGTAAAATTAAACAAGATGGTAAAGAAGAAAAGGTTCTTCTATCACTCACCTTCCTATCACTGATAAACATAAACACTATTTGCTCTGTCAGTCACACAACCATGCAATTCTTGCCCAGGGGTTCAAGGTGCCATATGAAAACAGGGCAGACTGTTCCAAACACTCTTGAAAAGGTAATCGCTGAATTCAGAGAGAATACACCATGTGCCACGCTTACGGGCCACTGATGGAAATAAATATGTGATCCAGATAGTAGCAAATGAAGACACAAAAGCCACTAAAGATTTCACTCAAGTGCTGGGGGGCTGCAATGAATAAAACTACTCCATCTGATAGCTATATCCCAAACCTGAAGAACTTGATCCAGAAAATCAATATGTAAAATGAAGCTGTTATTTCAGAAGTACAAAACAGAATGCTGAACCTATCTTGTTACCCAATTACATATTCAAAAGGGCATTCTCTGCTATGTAAGTACAAGATGCTATACAGTTTTCTTGTGCCTGGTAAGATAGGTGTGACTCCAAGAATACTGTAGAAGTCTATTACACTGTAGATGGCAGCACATGAAGAGATCAATCCATGCTCCTGTTCAACTGGCTCATCCTTACATCAGTACATGTATAAAGCTGACGAGAAAAATAACTTCCTCCTGCTTCTCTAACCCACACAGCACAAGGGCCTTGTGGCGATCTGAGTTTGTTACTCAAATCAAACTGGACCAGCATCAAGGAAGTAAACTACTCCACAGACAACCAAACGCAAGCATGGGCTCACATGGCAATGAGAAGAATCAAGGACAGATCAAAGAACAGGTTACAGAGAGATCCGAGGAACTTTGGCGGGGGGGGGGGGA